TTTAGTTGTTTGTATTCTCCATTAGAATAGGCTCTGAGAAAGCAAAGTCTGTATCTGTCTTGCTTATCATTGTTATCCCTGAAAGCTTGCCCACTGGCTGGCTCTTAATAAGCACACCATAAATATTTACTGGAAATGCTCATTCTTAAAATGATTGAATGAATGAATGATAGATGGATGTTTGATGGCATTGTGTAGCCAAAAATTGTGTTCTGTCTCACTACCTGTTTTTGAAGACTGACCTTTAGTTTGTGTTTCTTGCCGTGTTTGATGGTCCATTTTTTTTTGTCCACAACTCTTATTCAAAGTAAAACACCAAACAAAAGCACATTGAGTTACTGACCCGCAAGTTATTATTCTGCTGTCAGTTTCAACCTCATGTCTTAATCACCTGAGGTCAAACTTACATATGTCTCAATAGCTTTTTTGAGAACGATGGTAGTCTAATTTGTGTGCTATATGCTGTTGAAATGTTTTGCTATAAAGACACTAGAACTGAATTTTGCTCTTTTGGAATAATGATGAATGTAAAACAAAAACAAAAACAAAAACCAACAACTCAATAACATTCAAACTGATTTCCAAGTTTGTTCTTCAGCCAAAGGAATGTGCCCACTGACTTTTTTTTAAAGGTAGCAGATTTATTATGTTGTAATTCATACACCATAACATTTACCACTTTAAAGTTTCCAATGTAGTGGTTTTTAGTGTGTTTACAGAGTCATGTAGCCATCACCACATTATCATTGCAGGACATTTTTATCATACCGGAAAGAAATCCAGACCCATTAGTAGTCACCCCCATTCTACTTTCTATTGCTATGGATTTGCCTGTTCCTGATATTTCACATAAATAGAGTTGTACATTGTGTGGCCTTCTGTATCTGATTTCTTTTACCTAGCATGATGTTTGAAAGATCATTCATGTTGTAACATGGATCACTACTTTGTTCCTTTTTATGGCTGAATAATATTCCACAGCATCACATTTTGTTTATCAGTTGATGGATATTTAGGTCGTTTCAGTTTTTAGCTATTAGGAATATTGTACTGTACCCATGAACATTTGTGTACAAGTTTTTGTGTGGACATGTGTTTTCATTTCTGTTGGATATATACCTGAAAGTGTATTGCTTAGTCATATAGTAACTAGTAATACAGTAACTCTGTGGGAGATTCGAGAAACTGCCAAGCTGTTTTCCAAATAGCTGCATCATTTTACCTTCTTACTAACAATGTTTGAGGGTTCCAGTTTCTCCATATTCTCACCAGCACTTTTTATTATCCCTCTTTTTCATTATAGCCGTCCAACGAGTGGTATCTCCTCATTGGCTGGGTTTGCTTTTCTTTTCTTTTCCTCCTGAGTCCGAGTCTTGCTCTGTTGTGCAGGCTAGAGCGCAGTTGCGTGATCTTGGTTCATTGCAACCTCTGCTTCTTGGGTTCAAGCAATTCTCCTGCCTCAGCTTCCCGAGTAGCTGGGTTTACAGGCACGCACGAGCATTCCTGGTTAACTTTTGCATTTTTAGTGGAGACTGGGTTTCACCATGTTGGCAGGCTGATCTCGAACTCCTTACCTTGTGATCCGCCCACTTTGGCCTCCCAAAGTGTAGGATTACAAATGTGAGCCAGGGTTTGCTTTTCTGTAATGATCAATAAAATTGAGCACTTTTCATGTGTTTATTGGCTATTTGTATACTTTCTTTGCAATTTAGCTATTCAATAAAAATCCTTTGTCCATTTTTAAACTGGGTTGTCTTCTTCTTGTTGAGCTTTGAAAGTTCTTTTTTGTTGTTGTTTGTTTTTGTTTTTGAGACAGAGTCTTTCTCTGCCGCTCAGGCTGGAGTGCAGTGGCACCGTCCCGGCTCAATGCATCCTTGACCTCCTGGGGCTCAGGCGATCCTCCGACTTGAGCCTCCCAAGTACCTGGCACTACAGGCATGTGTCACCAAGCCTGGCTAATTTTTGAATATTTTTGTAGAGAAAGGATTTTGCCATGTTGCCAAGGCTGCTCTTGAACTCCTGGGCACAAGCAATCCATCTGCCTCTTGTCTCCCAAAGTGCTGGGATTGTAGGTGTGAGCCACCATGCCCAGCCTAAAAGTTATTTATATAGTGTGGATACTAGTCTGTTATCAGACATAGGGTTTATAAATACAGTTGGCCCTTGAACAGTGCAGAGGTTAGGGGTACTGAACCCCTGAGCAGTTGAAAGTTATATGTATAACTTGACTCCCCAGAAACTTAACTACAAATAGCTTGCTGTTGACAGGAAGCCTTACTGATGACATAAACAGTTGACTAACACATATTTTGTATGTTATCTGTATTATGTACTATGTTCTTACAATAAAGCAAGCTAGAGAAAAGAAAATGTTAAGAAAATCATAAAGAAGAGAAATACATTTTCTGTTTATTAACTGGAGGTAGGTTATCATAAAGATCTTAATCCTTGTGGTCTTCATATTGAGAAGGCTGAGCAGGGGGGAAGAAGAGGAACGGTTGGTCTTGCTGTCTTGGGGGAGCAAGAGTGGAAGAGTTTTTTTTTTTTAGGCGGAGTCTCACTCTGTGACCCAGGCTAGAGTGCAGTGGTGCGATCTCGGCTCACTGCAGCCTCTACCTCCTAGGTTCAAGTGATTCTCCTGCCTCAGCCTCCTGAGTAGCTAGTATTACAGGGACCCATCACCGCACCCAGCGAATTTTTGTATTTTTAGTAGAGAGGATTTCACTCTGTTGCCAGGCTGATCTCGAACTACTGACCTCAAGTGAACTGCCCGCCTCAACCTCCCAAAGTGTTGGGATTTCAGGGGTGAGCCACCAGGTCTGGCCAAGAGTGGAAGAAAATTGGCATGTAAATGAACTTGCACAGTTCAAACCTGTGTTGTTCAGGGTCAGCCGTATCTTCTCCCAGTATATGGATTCTCTTTTTACTTTCTTGATAGTGTCCTTTGAAGCATGAATGTTTTCGGTTTTGGTGAAGTCTAATTTATTTGTTTGTTGCTTATGGTTTGGGGTCATATGTAAGAAGTATCACCTAATCTAGGGTTATGAAGATTTATTCTTCTCATTGTTTTATAATTTAGCTCTTAACTGTAGGTTGATTGTCCATTTTGAGTTAATTTGAGTGTATGTTGTAAGAGGTTCAACTTACTCTTTTGGATGTGGATATCCTGTTGCTCCAGCACCATTTGCCGAAAATACTATTCTTTCTCCATTGAAATGACTTGGCATTCTTGTTGAAAATCAGTTGACCATAAATGTGAGGCTTATTTTTGGACTCTTATTTCTATTCCACTAATCTGTATGTCTGTCTTTATGCCAGTACCCCACTGTCTTGATTACTGTATTTTGCACTAAGTTTTGAAAATGAGAAATGTGAATCTTCCAACTTCTGTTACCCTCAAGAGTATTTTGGCTCTTCTCGGTCTCTTTCATTTCCATATAAATTTTAGGATCAATTTGTCAATGATAAACAAAGCAGCTGGAATTTTTGATAGAGATTGAGTTGAATCTGTTGTGCCCACTGGCATTTGGCCGAGACTTCAACTTGTTACCTCTTTTGGACTAGTTGTATGGACCTCATTTTAGCACATAGATGTGATGTTATCAGGGTTTGGTTATTAACTTTAGATTACAAATGTTTGGGAAGTTAAAAATGTTATTCACGGCTGGGTGCAGTGGTTCATGTCTATAATCCCAGCACTTTGGGAGGCTGAGGTGGGTGGATCACCTGAAGTCATGAGTTTCAGACTAGCCTGAGCAGTATGATGAAACCCGTCTCTACTAAAAATACAAAAAATTAGCTGGGCGTGGTGGCAGGTTCCTGTAGTCCAGCTACTCGGGAGGTTGAGACAGGAAAATTGCTTGTTTGAACCTGGGAGGTGGAGGTTGCAGTTGGTTGAGATTGTGCCACTGCACTCCAGCCGGGCGACAGAGCAAGACTCCATCACGCGCGCGCACACACACACACACACACACACACACACACACAGAATAAAATTTTATTCACCTATAACATACATACAGAAATAATCAGTATTCACTTCAATGACTATTTGCAGAGTGAACACATCTACATAACAGGAGTCCAGATCTAAAAAGGAACATTGCCGGTATCATTGAGGACTTTTTGATGTTTGCATTGATTCATTCAGATTGTTTCATTTTCCTGTATGTTCTAGTAGAGTTGAAGGCTTGTTATTATTTTCTTTTTCTAAAAAAAAACAAGACTCTTGCTCTGTCACCCAGGCTGGAGTGCAATGGTGCCATCTTGGCTCACTTTAGCCTCCACCTCCTGGGTTCAAGTGAGTCTCCTGCCTCAGCTTCCTGAGTAGCTGGGATTACAGGTGCCCACCACCACACCTGGCTCATTTTTGTATTTTTAGTATAGACAGGTTTTGACCATATTGGTCAGGCTGCTCTTAAACTCCTGACCTCGGGTGTTCCACCTGCCTCAGCTTCCCCAAGTGCTGGATTACAGGTGTGAGCCACCACACCCAGTTGGCTTATTTACCTGTATATTTGGAACATCAGTAGGTAGCATAGTGCGTGGTTGAGATCATGGACTTTGGGCCTCAGCTGCTGGGTTTAAATTCTAGCTTTACCACCTATTAGGTGTGAGACCGTGGGCACATTCCTTAACCCTTATGTGCTCCAGTTTCCTCATCTGTAAAATGGAGACAAAACTACCTCATCGGGAGGATTAGTAAGTAGATTGCTTGGAAAATTGCCTGATGATCGCAGTAAGTGCCATATGTGTATTAGCTATTATTCACATTATTACATTTATTGTTGTTTTGTATTTGTATTTCTTCAGTAGAGTATAAGCCCCTTGTCTGACTTGTTTATCGTGGCAAGCCCAAAGACTAGCACTGTGCCTAGCATGTAATAGATACTCAACACATTTTTGAGAAAGGAAGGAAGGGATTTTAAATAATAGATAGAATTCCTAAATCCTTTTCTAAAACTGCCTTTGACAGCTATACTGTCTTTCATTTACAACAGCTTCTGGAGCTGTTTGACAGCGAAGACCCTCGGGAACGGGACTACTTAAAAACAGTTTTACACAGAATTTATGGCAAGTTTCTTGGTCTTAGAGCATTTATCCGAAAACAGATTAACAATATTTTTCTAAGGTAAGTGGAGGGTGATGGAGGAAGAAGGAGAAGCAAAGTTGATGTTTTTATGGAAGTATTAAGTAAATCACAAGTATCTGAAAACAGTATACTGACTTATCTTTCTCCCTTTCTGCCTTCCTTCCTTCTCCTGTTCTCTACCCCCCTCCCTGCTCCTCTCTTCTCTCCCTCCTTTTCTCCTCCCTCTCATTTCCTCCTCCTCTTCCTCTTCTCCGCTTCCTCGTCCCCGCCTCTCCTCCTACTCTCCCCTCCCTCCTCCCTCTCCCCTGCTCTCCTCTTCCCCTTCTCCTCCTCCCCTCTTCCTCTCTTCTCCCCTCTCCTCCTCCTCCTCCTCTCTTCCTTTCATCTCCCCCCTCCTTCTCCTTTCTTTCCCCCTCTCCTCCTCTCCTCTTCCCTCCCCTCCTATTCTCTTCCCTGCCTCCTCCTACTGTCTTCCCCCTCCTCCTCCCTCTCCTCCTGTCTTCCCCTTCTTCTCTTCCTCTTTTTCTCCTCTCCACCTCCTTCTCCTCCGCCTCTCTTCTTTCTTCCTTTCTTCTCTTCTCTCCTTCTCCTCTCTTCTCCCTCTCCTCCTCCCTCTTCTTTCTTCCCCCTCCTCCTTCCCTGCTTCTGCTCCTCCTCTCCTTCTCCCCCTCTCTTTTTCTCCCTCTCCTCCTGCCTCTTCTTTCTTCCCCCTCTTCCTTCCCTGCTTCTGCTCCTCCTCTCCTTCTCCCCCTCTCTTTTTCTCCTCTCCTCCTTTCTCCTCCCCTTTCTTTTTCCCTTTCTCCTCCTCTTCTCTTTTTTCAGGTTTGTTTATGAAACAGAACACTTCAATGGTGTAGCTGAACTGCTGGAAATATTAGGAAGGTGAGCACTTTTTTCTAATTGCTAATCTCGGGTGAATATTATTTTAAAAAGTAGATTCAGGTAGCGCCGAGATACTCATCTAGCTCTCTTGCTGTATGTACATTAGGTCTCTCTCATTTGTGTCTGTTAGTCTGTTTTCCAACTGAATCTACAAGACATGATTTCATGTTCCTTTTGTTCCACAATTATGCATTGAAATGACTGAAAGAGCTGACAGTTCATTCATTACTACAAAGATGATATATCTAACTCTGATCAGGCCAGTTACTCCAAAACATTTCATTCTCATTAGTTTCTAGGCCATCTGGTCCTTTGCCTTATCTGTTGAAAGCAAGTATATAATAAATTGGAAAGATTGCCATTTTCAAAGGAGTTGTGTATCCAGGTATAGTCCTTGAAGAGCTGCTGCCTGGAGTAGTGGAGTGAATTGGAAAGAGCTATGGTGTTAAGTTTCCACACACGAGGGAGGCGAATGTAGCTGAATGATGTGATTACTTAATCTTTTCTCCTAATATGAGGAGAAAGGGAAGGTGGAGTCACATGGCTTTCTCTTGGTGACTTCCCTAGGCTGGGCAGAGGTTTCAGGAATGAGAAGGAATGATGTCTGGAAATGGAAAAGATCATATTTAAGGAGGAAGCAGGCAAGGCAGCCATTATTTAGAGAAGGAAAAGAGAGGGAAAATAAAGGGTCTTGATAAAGAGCTTTTGGAAACTGACTAATTTTAGGAGCACAGTCCTTGTTGGATGATCAGAAGCAGATTTTCTTCTCTTAAATTTTATTCCAACTTACTGTATTCTGTGAAGTCATTAAGAAATTCTGGCTGGGCGAGGTGGCTCACGCCTATTATCTCAGCACTTTGGGAGGTCAAGGTGGGCAGATCACTTGAGGTCGTCAGGAGTTCTAGACCAGTCTGGACAACATGGTGAAACCCCACCCATCTCTAATAAAAATACAAAAAAATTAACCAGGCATGGTGGCGTGTGCCTGTAATCCCTGCTACTTGGGAGGCTGAGGCATGGCAGTCAATTGAATCCTGGAGGTGGAGGTTGCAGTGAGCTGAGATTGAGGCCACTGCACTTCCAGCCTGGGTGATAGAGCAAGACTCTCTCTCAGAAAAAAAAAAAAGAAATCCTGAATGCCACTGGGGTGGGTATTCTGTTGTTTTGTACAAACAGACTGATTAAGTTTAATTAATATCATAAGAACAGTTTGTCTCAGTTTAACTTGTTGTGGTAACATCGCTAATTTGCGTCTCTTTTTTCTCCCTAGTATTATCAATGGCTTTGCTTTACCTCTTAAGGCAGAACACAAACAGTTTCTGGTGAAAGTGTTGATCCCCTTACACACTGTCAGGAGCTTATCACTCTTCCATGCACAGGTAGGAGAATTTTGTACAACTACTTTTAGAAGCAAAATAAAAAGTTTGCAAACTCATTGTTTTTTTTTTTTGGTATTGATATAGTCTTCATTTCTAAAGGAAAGAGACTTGTTAAAGTTTAAAATTCTCCCAGAAGGAAATCAAAATGTGTATATTTTTTTTCTATGCACCATAGAATCATGGAAATATTTTTAAAGTGGGAGGTCATTTCATTTTACAGATGACTTAGATGACTTGGCCAAGTGCACACAATAACATATTGAACGTATTATGTATAATAAAATGCACAGGAGCTTATCAGATGTAGATATTGGGACCTATATAATCATTTTTTAATGTTCTTAAATATTTTGTTCCATCCTACTTTGCATTAGTCTATCAGTTGCTCTTTTTGCCTCCTCTTCTAGGTCACTCACCATGTATTTATCACTTTCTACACACAGATACTCTCACAAGTAAACAAATCAATCAGTAGTTTCACATCATTTTCTTTTCTTTTTCTTTTTTTTTTTCAAGCCTTCATCACTGTAAAAAGTGTACTCTGTCTTGCCCTCGTTCTGATTTTTGTTGTAACACTGCCTTGCATGGTCACCATGTCATTGGGGGTAGATAAATTATTGGGTAGTATTTTAAATTTTGGATAGGAAAATTTAAAATACTGCTAGATTCTTACTGCCTTGTCCCCTCATTGGGAAGGTTTGAGTTTGCATAAAAACGTAACACATTTTTCTAAGGCATGTTCCTCTTTAAATGTGAAATCTGTACTTTGAGGAAAAATTGGCCCATACGTCTCTAATTTAGAACACCATCAAAATGTTCTTTTGCAAGGGTGATTTTCTTGTCCAAGAATCTTTAGAAGCCCTTTTATAAATCTTGCCTTTGATTTTTGAAATCGGGTATCATATTTCATAATTATTATCTAAAAAAATCTTACTTAGATATGTTAGTACAATTCTTCTTACATTTCTCCAGGTTTTAACTGGCAGGTGCAACCTTTTATCTCCTCTTGAAACTGCTTTAGTTTGCATGTGCCATTTCAGGCAGTTGGCAAAGTTTTTTCTTAAGTGCTTGCTTCCCTTAGAGGACTATTGTGGAACTACGGTAAAACTCAGTACTGTTGAAATTAGCAAAGAGAGAAAGGAAGCCCCTGAGATTGTAGCTTAAACTATATGAGGTGAGATAATTCCACAATATGCTGAGTGTGGTGTCTCACTTCTGCTTTTCATTAGCTGCATAGTTCATGTCTTAATACTCTTTTGAGACTGAGTTTTGCTCTTGTTGCCCAGGCTGGAATAAAATGGTACAATCAACTCACCGCAACCTCCGTCTCCTGGGTTCAAGCGATTCTCCTTCCTCAGCCTTCCAAGTAGCTGGGATGACAGGCATGCACCACTACACCCAGCTAATTTTGTATTTTTAGTAGAGACGGGTTTCTTCATGTTGGTCAGGCTGCTCTTGAACTCCTGACCTCAGGTGATCTGCCTGCCTCATCCTCCCAAAGTGCTGGGGTTACAGGCATAAGCCACCGCTCCCAGCCCTAATACTCTTTTTTAAAAAAAGTTCTCCTAGAGCCATATTAATATTAGTCTTTGGCTTGAAAAAGTAGCTTCTTGTTTTGCTTTATATAGATTTTATTTTTATGATAATCAGAATGAATCGAATGTGAAGTTGTTAAAACCAATCTGGAAACCTTTTAGGAAGTTTTAATGGTATAACTTTTGAGCCCTTACTATGTAGAATTTAAAATTTTGCCTTTTATTTTATTTTTTACTCAGCTGGCATATTGTATAGTACAGTTTCTGGAGAAAGATCCTTCACTCACAGAACCAGTAAGTCTTTTTTCCATGATTTCAGAAACTTCAGAAAAAATTACCTTTCCCAGAAGTGTATGTGAAAAATTAAATGCAATTTGTTTTTCTCCTTTTTGTTTTAGGTTATTAGGGGGTTAATGAAATTTTGGCCTAAAACATGTAGTCAAAAAGAGGTAAGTGCTTACTATCAGGGAGTGTTCATAGCTTACTAAGTATTTTGCTGAGTGCCAGTCATTGGGCTAAGCATGTATAAAACTGCATCGTCTCATTTAAACCTCACTGTAACTCTATAAGGCAGGGCTGTCAAAACTCTTGTTTTACTAGTTATGAAACTGTAGAGAGGTTAAATGGCCTGCCCCAGTACTCTTAAGTAAGTACAGATGATTAGGCCAGAACTCGCCTCCCTGACTCCCAAATCCTGGGTTTTTATTCACTGTGTTGTTCAGCCTCAGATAAGCCCAGGCCAGTCCCCAGTCATGTGTCCAGTTGTCTAGCTTTGTTAATGTTCCCTTCCTAGTGGCCCCCTTCATAATATGAAGGTTCTGCTGTCACTATAGATAGATGCTAGGGCAGCCTGCCCAAATATTCACTTTAAAGCATATTATATAGGTGGATCTTACTGTGTGTCATCCTTTTTTTTTTTTTTTGAGACCGAGTCTCACTCTGTCACCAGGCTGGAGTATAGTGGCCTGATCTTGGCTCACTGCAACTTCTGCCTCCTGGGTTTAAGCGAGTCTCCTGCCTCAGCCCCCTGAGTAGCTGGGATTATAGGTGTGTACCACTACACCCAGCTGATTTTTGCATATTAAGTAGAGACAGGGTTTCATCATGTTAACTAGGATGGTCTCGATCTCTTGACCTTGTGATGCACACACCTTGGCCTTCCAAAGTGCTGGGATTACAGGCATGAGCCACTGTGCCTGGCCATCTTTTTTTTTTTTTTTTTTTTTTTAATTTTTTAAGGCGAAGTCTCACCCTGTTGCCCAGGCTGGAGTGCAGTGGTGTGATCTCAGCTCACCACAACCCCTGCCTCCGGGGTTCAAGCGATTCTTCTGCCTTAGCCTCCTGAGTAGGTGGGACTAAGACACGTGACACCATGCCCAGCTAATTTTTTTTGTGTTTTTAGTAGACATGGAGTTTCACTATGTTGTTCACACTGGTCTTGAACTCCTGACCTTGTGATAAGCCCGCCTCGGCCTCCTATAGTGCTGGGATTACAGGTGTGCGCCACCTCATCCGGCCTCTGTCATCTTCAAATAGACTACAGACCTTTAGTTTCAACCATTTACAAATGACCCTGAAGGGTTCAGACCCACAATCATTTGTACCTTTGCTGAAAACTCACCAGGCATGTACTACTTTGTGAGGTTGCTCTAGAATAGTGAGTGAATTTCTTAGTTGGAGATGGGCGTAACTGAGCACCAGATCTGCAGCCACTCTTCTGGAAGGTTAGCAACTATGTGGAAAATGGCTCAGAAAAAAAAGATCAGCTGTTAGTTTTATATTTGGTTAAAATTTTGGGAGAAATTCTGTATGCATATTAACAAATGGCAAGGGTCTACTATATTTTACTTTTAGCAGAAACGCCTTCCTTCTCAAATCAGATTCAATTCTCCAAACCCTATTTTAAATTCAGAAAGTCGTTTAATTTCTTAAAATCTGTTAGGTAAAAATTGAACTGTTCATTTCTACCCAGATACATCTCAAAATATGAAGGCATTGTCATTTTTCACATTTTGATTGCTCACTTAATTTTTTTTCAAAGTATTTTTTTTATAGCTAAATAGGTAAGCCGGTTTTTTTTTTTCTCTGTCATTTTCCCATTATATTTAAAACAATTGACTCTACCACAGATTTGGCTCCATATGGTGATCCAATGGTGATCTAAAAACTCTGTTGAGGCACATGATGCTGAGGCCACAAGATTCACTATGCTCTATGGAGAGCGTGTGTGTGTGTGTGTGTGTGTGTGTGTGTGTGTTGAGAATGAGTCAGTGCATGCTCATGGGTTTCAGGTAGCATCTGCATGTGGGTGAGTCTGCTCATTTGTGTTTCTTGAACTTTTTGTTGTATTAATGAGTACGTTCTAGAGGAGCATTGAGCATGTAGCAGGGGCTATAAGTATTTGGCAAATGACCACATTTGAACTTTTGCTCTTCTATGAGGAGGGCCATTTTCTCATTGTGTGTGTGTGTGTTTTTTTAAAGTATTGTGGAAAGAGAGCTGGGTTACTATTAATAAAGTGGAAAGCCCTACGGGGTCAGTTTTGCTTCCCAGGGGCCGGTGCAGTGTGTGAGTGTCCCTTGTTCTTGTAATATACAGAGCAAATAGAGTATTTTCTTCAAGTGTGTCTAATCATATTTTCAATGCTGAAGGGAACCTGATTTTAACAAGTGCCCTGTGGTGAATTCTTTGCGGAATGACCATCTTCTGACATGGGATAATGCATGGTTTATTTATGTTTTGTTTTTTTTTCTCCTGCATGCACTTAGGGCATATATGTTTGGTTTTATTTGTAAATTTTTCTTAACATAGTCCAGACTCTTATTAATCCTCCTTGTTCTTGTGAATTTTTTGTGGTATGCTTCACATCTTGTGTTTTGCTTGTACTTGCAGGTCATGTTCCTTGGGGAACTGGAAGAAATATTGGATGTGATTGAACCTTCACAATTTGTTAAAATCCAAGAACCTTTGTTTAAGCAAATTGCCAAGTGTGTATCTAGCCCCCATTTTCAGGTTAGTAGTAAAGAGTTCATGAGCCAGGGAGCATGAGTTATTTTGATTAAATTGTATTTGTTTCGAAAGCAGTGTAATGGACAACAGCTACCTATTGTTTATTTGCTGTTTCCTCACATGATAATAATTTTTTTTTTTTTTTTTTTTTTTTTTTTTTTTTGAGATGGAGTCTTGCTCTGTTGCCCAGGCTGGAGTGCAGTGGAATGATCTTGGTTCACTGCAACCTCCGCCTCCCAGGTTCAAGCGATTCTCCTGGCTCAGCCTCCCAAGTTGGTGGGACTACAGGCGTGTGCCACCACACCCAGCTAATTTTTTTTTATTTTTGATACAGACGGGGTTTCCTGTATTAGCCAGGATGGTCTCAATCTCCTGACCTCGTGATCCACCCACTTTGGCCTCCCAAAGTGCTCATGCCTGTGCATGAGCCACTGCACCCGGCCCTCATGATAATAATTTTAACAGTAGCCACCTTACCTTGAGCACCTGCTACCAAACAGCCATGGTAATGGTGGTTTCTCTCTGGTAACTTTATCCTAACACCCTAGAAGGAAGGCATTGTGTTTTTTATAGATGTACAGATACAAACACTGAAGCTCAAAGTAGTCAAAAGTATTTCAAGTAAATTCCTAAATAAGTGGGCTGGTGGGGTCTCTAGTGTGTAAGAGAGAATGCTAAGTAATGTTTAAGAGGAAAAGGAGAAAACCTAATACTATGCTGGATACTTTATGTACATTATTTATAAATGTCCCATTATCCTCTGAAGCTTTTCTAGATTTAAAAAAAAAAACAAAAAACAAAAACGAGGCTCAGAGAACAATTTGCCGTAGGTACCAGATTAATAGAGGATAGAGTCAAATTTCTATCTTTGGTGTAGCTTCTGCTAAAGCCAGTGACCTTCCCATGGCACTGCTCTGCCTCCTCGTGGCCACTCAGGAACAACGCTTTTCTTTCTTGGGGCCATGGCTGCAGTGCTGTGGAACCCACACAGGAAGGAAGAAGGGTAGATTGAGGGTTACCAAACATGTTAGGTTTGATTGTTTGGCTGCATCACCTAAGGGCCCTATCATAAACCTAGACTCTGCCTATTGATTGAACGAAATTATTCAGATTATAGTTCTTAGCACAGAACCATACATCTAATGGTGTCATTGGATGGTGGACTTTTTCCCTAAGCCGTCATTATGCTGCATAGTTAGAGACATTGGTTGCTGCCCTTGTTTTGATTTCTGACCAAAAGACATGTTAATATCTGAAAGCAGTGACCTTATGGCAATCTAGCAGTTGTACCGTAAAGCAAGAATAAAGAAGGTAGAAACCGTGACAAGCTTGGATCAAAATGGAGAATTTATGGAGTAGTATATAGGTGTTTGATACCACCCAGGGTCTTTACTGCTCACACATCTGGATTGCTTACCTTATTTTTCAGTTTTCAGCAGGACGTTTGACATTTCCTGGAGGTCAAGGAACAAGTATCTTTTTAAAAATGAGCATCACCAGAAAGGCCTAAGTGATACTCAGAAGCTTAGAAAAGAGAGGTCATGTCTTGGTCAGCTCGGGCTGCTGTAACATAACAACATAGACTGGCGATTTAAACGACATTTATATTTTCACAGTCCTGGAGGCCAGAAGTTTGAGATCAGGGTCTCAGCATGGTTGGTTCCTGTGAGATCCTGCTTTCTGGCACGCAGATGGCCCTCGTCTTGCCGTGTACTCATAGGGCGTTTCCCGGCATGTACATACAGAGAGAGGCAATCTCACTCTCCTCTTCTTGTAAGGCCCCCAGTCGTATCTGTTTAGGACCCCACCCTGTGAGCTCATGTAACCTTCATTACCTCCTAAAAGTCTTATGTCCAAATACAGTTACATTGGGATTTAGGACTAAAACATATGAATTGTGGAGGGGCCACAATTCAATTTATAGCAGAAAGAAGAAAGAATTTTAAATTATTTGACAGAAGTAAAATTGAAAACAAAGGGAAGGGACCCTTGTTTATTTATTAAGTGTTCATTAAGAAATCTTTGCTGGCTTATCCACAAATATTTATTAATGAATTTGCTGGTTCATCCATTTATTGAGTGGCCGCCCTATGTAGCCAGATGCTTGTCATTGTTTGCCTCAGGTGTGGCATTAGGATCTGAGGTCTGCACGCTGGTGACACTGCCTCTGTGTGTGCAGAAGGACAATGGATCCCAGGAAAGTAGTGGTTCTGTCCTATTGTCAGACACAGTAATTTTTAACTTTGTATAAACAACACCTTTCCTCTTTAAGGGGCTGGATGCATACTTCTGTAAGTGGTTTTATGTATTAAAATAGATATATAAGAGATTAAGAAACTTGTTAGAATTAATTGCAGGTAAATATTGGACTCTGGAGGAATGTCCAAAGAGACCATGGAAGGATGCTAGTAAAGAAGGAGGCAGCTGGGATTTTCCTCCAACCAGTTAGATGTTCAGAACAGCCGCATTCTTCTTTCTTTTCTCCCTCTCCTTGCCTCCTGCTTTATCTGTGTCAGCTGCCTCATTTGCTTTGGTGGTTCCCAAACACTTTGTCCTCCTCCGTGCCTCTGCCCTTCTTTCCTTAATGCTCTCTACTTGGAATGCCCTTTCCTTTATCCTTCGAAGCCCAGCTTAAATGCCACTTGCCTATGTTACCTACCTACCTTCCTTCCTTCCTTCCTTCCTTCCTTCCTTCCTTCCTTCCTTCCTTCCTTCCTCCTTCCCTCCCTGCCTTTCTCTCTCTTTTCTTTCTTTCTCTTTCTTTCTTTCTTTCTTTCTTTCTTTCTTTCTTTCTTTCTTTCTTTCCTTTTCTTTCCTTTCCTTTCCTTTTCTTTTCTTTTCTTTTCTTTCCTTCTTTCCTTTCTTCCTTCCTTCTTTCTTTTTCTTTCTTCTTTCTCTTCTTCCTCCTCCTCCTCTTCCTCTTCTTTTTAAGATGGAGTCTCACTGTCATTATGCTGCATAGTTACCCAGGCTGGAGTGCAGTGGTACAATCTCAGTTCACTACTGTACCTGCCTCCCGGGTTCAAGTGATTCTGGTGCCTCAGCCTCTCAAGTAGCTGGGACCACAGGTGCACCCCACCATGCCCAGCTAATTTTTATATTTTTAGTAGAGATGGGGGTTTCATCTTGTTGGCCAGACTGGTCTCAAACTCCAGACTCAAATGATCCACCCACCTTGGCCTCCCAAAGTGCTGGGATTACAGGCATGAGCCACCGCACCCAGCCCCACCTATGTTACATTTCTGCCACCCTTCTGTTTCCCAAGTAATCTGTGTTGTTGATTCTACTCTTCCCTGACACTTTATTTATGTATCTGATATAGTGTCTGTCACAGTTTACATTGGATAGGCTTATAAATGCCCCTTTTCCCACCAGTATGTGAACTCCTTAGGGGTAACAGAGTAAAGAGGTTAAGAATAGAAACTTTGGAATCTGCTGCTTACTAGCCATGGGACCTTGAGACAGTGGCTTCTCTCTCTGAGTCTCAGATTCTTAATCTACAAAATAGAAAAGTAATGGTACCTACTCTGTTGGCTGTGAGGAAATGAAATATTATATATGTGAGACACTTAGCACGGTGCCTGGCATGTAAATATGCGGTAATGATTGTTTTCTTTGTACTCTCAGGGTCTAATGCCTAATGAGTCCCAGGATTTTTTTTTTTTTTTTAAACCAAGCTGAATAATGCACATGGAAAAATTCTGATTTCTTAGAGTCTTTCAGTGGATACATCTTACACCATTTTGTTCTCTTCTTTTTTTTTTTTTTCTTTTTGAGACAGAGTCACACTCTGTTGCCCAGGCTGGAGTGTAGTGGCACAACCTTGGCTCACTGCAACCTCCACTTCCTGAGTTCAAGTGATTCTCCTGCCTCAGCTTCCCAAGTAGCTGTGATTACAGGCAAGTGCCACCATGCCCAGCTAATTTTTGTATCTTTTGTAGACATGGGGTTTTACCATGTTGGCCAGGCTGATCTGGAACTCCTGACCTCAGGTGATCCACCCACCTCAGCTTCCCAAAGTGCTAGGATTACAGGTGTGAGCCACTGCACCTGGCCTTGTTCTCTTCTAAAACACAGCTTCTTAATCTGTTTAAATGAAGGAAGCAACCCTTTTTTCCCCTTTTCCACTGTAACTAGCCTTTTAGAGATTTTAGGTTTTGTTTTTGAGATATTCTTTTGAATTCATGGTGGGCAGAGAAAAGGGATCTGAGAGAGCAGAGAGGGGTAGGTGCAGCCAGTGTGTCTGAGACCAGAAACTGAGCAGATGTCTCCTGGCTTGCCCAGGAAGGGGCCAGAAACAAACTCTGGAAGAAGATCTATAAGTAAGGCCCCAGCTTTTACCATGATTTACTCCATTGTAACATCACCTACATTAGTCAGTCTCTGAATCTCTGTGTCCTCATCTGTAAAATGAGCACAATGGTATTTACTTCTGGGATGGTGGTAAGGATGATACATTGTACTTGCTGTGTAGGCACAGTGCCTGCCCATAGGAGGTGTTTAGTAAATATTGACCACTTTATGGGGATGGCCAACCGTGGGTGTTCCTGAGTAGCTGTGACTAAATGCTAACCATATACTGGGCACTGGGTTCGATCTAAGTGTGTGTGATGAAAAAGGTGAGCCAGGAAAGGGGACCAATAAGATGTGTTAAAATGATGTCAGGGCTGGGTGTGGTGACTCAATGCCTGTAATCCCAGCTCTTTGGGAGGCCGAGGCGGGCAGATCACGAGGTTAAGAGATTGAGACTATCCTGGCCAACATGATGAAACCCTGTCTCTACTGAAAATACAAAAAAATTAGCTGGACGTGGTGGCGCGCGCCTGTAGTCCCAGCTACTCAGGAGGCTGAGGCAGGAGAATTGCTTGAACCCGGGAGGCAGAGGTTGCAGTGAGGCGAGGTCGCGCCACTGCACTCCAGCCTGGCGCCTGGTGATGGAGTGAGACTCTGTCTCAAAATAAAAATAAAAATAAAGTGATGTCAGGAAAGTGTGGAATCAGATGACATGGGCAGAATTAGAGGAGAATATAAATTAACAGGAAAACTTACTTTCCTTCCTCAAGTCGATGAAGCCCTTGAAGCACTCTGGATTTTTTTTGGTGGGAAGGGAGGCAGGGTCTTGCGCTGTCACCCAAGCTGGAGTTCAGTGGCATGATCTTGGCTCACTGCAACCTCTGCCTTGAATGATTTAAAAATAGTCTTTTAAAATACTTTTGTTGGGAAAGATTTATAATTCTGTTTTATCTTTGTCTTTTTCTCTCTCTTAACATTGTATTTTTCTTTTCCCAAAGGTGGCAGAAAGAGCACTCTATTACTGGAATAATGAATACATCATGAGTTTGATAGAAGAAAACTCTAACGTCATCCTTCCCATCATGTTTTCCAGCCTTTATAGGATTTCGAAAGAACATTGGAATCCGTAGGTTTTCAGTTTATTTCCTTCTTTCTCTTCCTCTCTTCCTCTCTTTTTCTTTCCCTTTAGCTTATTATGGGCCAGATGCTGTCCTTGTTGCTGAAGAGGTATGTGAAAAGATAAAATCCTTACTTCTGGGGATTCACTGACTGGAGAAAATAGACAGATACTCTAACAAAATACCAGTTAAAGTATCTGTTTACTTGACAGGGTTCTTGATCTATCTCTGATGGTAGCAGATCTTTTGGGGAGGCACTGCAGCTGCAAGGAGAGGTGTGTAGATGCTGATGGCATGGCCATGCTTAGAGAGAATCTGAAAGGAATTTGGCAGGTGGATGGCATAGGGAGAACCCTTTCAGACAGTGGGTCCACCCATCACGTTAAAAGGCACAAAGATGTAAAAAGCATCTGTCAGTTTCTGAGACCTGTGAGTTTGGAAGGGCTGAGGCACAAGGTCTTTTGAGGAAGAGTGCTGGAAAATGTGACTAGAAAAGATTGTGGGACTCGTGTAAGCCTTCACCATGTTAGATGATGAGAAAGTGCTGAAAGGTTGTAAGTCGGGGAGTGTTTGCATTTTAGCGTGATCTGTTTCTTAACATCCAACTCAGTCGTTATTATGTATCTCTCAGAAAAGAAAAAGTTTAAAATCATGAAGGAGAAGTTTAATGTGCAGCCCTGTGAAAGTTAAAGCATTCTGAATTCTAATGTCTTTACATGTTTCTCTGTGGAATAGAAGGAAAATTTAATGTGGCATTTAAAAATTAGTAGATATACTTCAGTATATTTCATCTTTTAAAATTTTGCACGTAATTATAAAATATCACATTTCTCATTTTTCAAAGTTGCCAAATTTTATTAATAGAACTAGTAAAAATAAGGAGCTGATAAACAGTTAAGTCCCTTTATACAGATTGTCTCTTGAGAACCTAGAGAATTGTTCTAGCAAGTGTCTGTAACTACCCAGTGTACTATATTTGGTGCTTTCCCATCATTGCCCTTGGGAGGAAGGTCATTCTGGAACCTTAACAGAAAAAACTTAAAGTTTCCTTTTAATGGCACAAGGCAGAAGCTACACAGCAAGTGTACTTTCTTATAAATGTTTTGGAAACATCAGACTTATGTTTTATTTAATATATGGCGAATTTTTACCAGGGCCTTTTTCAGTGATATTAGGAGCATGTTTGTTGCAAAACGGAAGCCATAGATATTTTTGCAAAGGGAAAAGCTATTTAGACTCTAGTCTGAAGCTATCAAGACCATCATAACCTTGTCCTCACATTGCCCAAAAGCTCATTCTTGGTAAGTATGGGCTACCATTTTGGCTGTTTAGCTGTGTAGTGTCCCATAGCTAATAACAACCATCCTGACTTGCCAGTTATCTCTATTTATTTATTTATTTATTTTAAGATGGAATCTTGCTCTGTTGCCCAGGCTGGAGTGCAATGGCATGATCTTGGCTCACTGCAACCTCCACCTCCTGGGTTCAAGCAATTCTTCTGCTTCAGCCTCTCAAGTAGCTGGGACTACAGGCACCTGCCACCACACCTGGCTAACTTTTATATTTTTAGTAGAGACAGGGTTTCACCATATTGGCGAGGCTGGTCTCAAACTCCTGACCTTGTGATCCACCCCCCTTGGCCTTCCCAAGTGCTGGGATTACAGGTGTGAGCCACCGCGCCCAGCCAGCTTGCCAGTTATCTTATCAGCATATCTTTTGGGTCAGCAGAACTGGTGCAGATCACATCTAGACAAATAGTTCATATTAAATCACCCAGCCTACACAGGGGTTTGCTTTCATTTCTTTGGATACGAATAATTTTTATATATGTATATATTTTTAAAACATTTGTTTCTGTGGAAGTAGCTTCTGATTTTGATGAATTCTGTATATTATTTAGAAATTAGAATTCAATGCAAATACAGGTGTCTAAAGTTAGTGCTATCTAGGCCCTTATTTTAGGGTGAAGTTGCTTTACTTTTATACTTGCCTTTTTATTAAGTGAAATTATCACGTGCCTGCAGCAGCTCTATTCTGGGTGCCAACAATTAGAAGGGCAAAATGAGATATTTTTTGTAGTTCTACCACCCCTCAGAAAATTATCTTGCCTTGAATGGCAAAGAATAGAAATTTCTTGATGTGGAAATGAACCACATGTGGAAAAAGGAATGCAGACAATGTGCAGTACAGGGAACTCATTCAGACAAAAGTTGTGCTTTTGCTTTCTTCCTTCAGTGTCCCATTTTGTAAGACTTACTAACATGTTCCCTTTTTTCTGTGCTTTACAGGGCTATTGTGGCGTTAGTGTACAATGTGTTGAAGGCATTTATGGAAATGAACAGCACCATGTTTGACGAGCTGACAGCCACATACAAGTCAGATCGTCAGCGGTAACTTTTTAAAGCTTATTTGTCAGCTGTGCATAAGCTACTGAGTTTTTTCCTTGCTCTTTGAAGTTGCCTAATTGTACCCCAAATCTTAAACAGCACAATTTTATTTACAGTCATGCATTGCTTAACAACTGGTATATGTTCTGAGAAATGCATCATTAGGCATTAGTATTGTGTGAACATCATAAGTGTACAGTAATTGCACAAACCTTCATGGTATAGCCTGCTGTGACACATCTGAGCTATATGGTATTGCCTGTTCTTCCTGGGTTACAAACCTGTATAGCGTGTTACCATGGTGACTACTGTAGCCAGTTGTAACACAAGTCACTAGGCAGTAGGACTTTTTCAAGCCTTTTTTTTTTTTTTGGTAGGCTGGCATGCAGTGGTGCAGTTTCAGCTCACTGCAACCTCCATCTCCCAGGTTCAAGTGATTTTTCTGCCTCAACCTCCTGAGAAACTGGGATTACAGGCACGCAGCACCACGCCCGGCTAATATTTTGTACTTTTAGTAGAGACAGGGCTTCACCATATTTGCCAGGCTGATCTGGAACTCCTGACCTGTGATCTGCCCGATTCTGCCTCCCAAAGTGCTGGGATTACAGGTGTGAGCCACTGCACCCAGCCTCAAGCCTGTTAAAATTTTATGGGAACACCATGGTATATGTGGTCTGTGTTGACCAAAATGTTGTTATTCAGCACATGACGGTATTTATATAGTCATTGTTGAACGCTTATTAACTGTGCCTTTATTACTGTGCCACTGGGTAACAAAGCTTTGTGACAGTCATTTTGATAAAGTCTGCTTTCCTCCCTTTCTTTAATAATATTTCAGTTCTGCCGCAGGTTAAGAGCCCGGCATATAACTGGTATTAGGGACTATCAGGTGGTTTGCTACCTGGATTCACTCCCACTCTGAATTTACTTGAAATATAATTGGGCAGATCTTGTTCACTCCAGTTGCAGCGGGAATGACGCACCATTTATCTAGCTCTTGGGCCCAGAACTTACTGGAACTCAACAAATATATTACAGTCTAAAGAGCAGTGAAAGGAACATGAAGGTCAATAGTCCTAACCAGAAATGTTTGAGACCAAATGTGAGCAGAGAAGAAGTCTTTACAGTGAATGCTTATGGCCTAGTTAAGTCTTTCTTGATTTCATTTTGATGATTCTTCAGTTTTGTTGTATCTTGTTCAATGTGTTCTATTTTCCAAAAGATGTACTTGGGGAGATCATAGAAATCTAGAGAACTCTTAGTAGTTGAGCCTCTGGTTTGGCTTTGATCACCCGTAAGCAGATGTCAGCTTTGTTTATCATAAAACTATGGACCTTTAAAGGACTCAGAGGTATGGGCAAGTGTTCATAGCCAGGGTCTTGCTGAACTTCTGTGGTTCCCTTGGTGCTTTGCTTTGCCTCATTTTTAGTTTGTCACTTGCATCTTATTGACAAAAAGAGCAACGAGGGGAAAGATTTGATGGCAGAGAGACCGTTGCAATGATTTTTTTTAAAGTTACCAGGGATGTGATTTATGAAAACCAACTTAATTATGGAATATGGCAAGTATTTAGCTAGAGACAGAAGAGGCTGAGATTTTGTACCCAGAATATTGGGATTAATATCAATTATGGGATATGTTATTCCATACTTACATTTTAAACAACTTTTAATTCATTGGTCTCAAACTCCTGACCTTGTGATCCGTCCCCTTTCCCAAGTGCTGGGATTACAGACGTGAGCCACCCCGCCCAGCCAGCTTGCCAGTTATCTTATCAGCATATCTTTTGGGTCAGCAGAACTGGTGCAGATCACATCTAGACAAATAACTCATATTAAATCACCCAGCCTACACAGGGTCTTGCTTTCATTTCTTTGGATACGAATAATTTATATATATATATATATATATATATATATATATATATATATATACACACACACACGTACATATATATGTATGTATATATATGTGTGTGTGTATATATATATATGTGTACGTATATATATGTGTGTGTGTGTGTGTGTGTGTGTGTGTGTATAAAACATTTGTTTCTATGGAAGTAGCTTCTGATTTTGAATTTTGATGAATTATATTAGCGATTGTTGCCAATTATTAGATTTATAATAATCCTCCCTGCCCCAAACTTAAATTAAAATCTTTAAAGGATGTTAGTTAAAAAAAGGCTGCAGGGTACATTTAAACACTGTGGTGCACCATGAAAGGTGTATTGTGCATAGCATCTTTTCTTTCAGAGCAACTGAAAGTACTTTATTATTATCCTAGTTGAACCAAGATTCAATTTGTAGAAGCTCATCAAGAATATTGAAGAACTTGGCTGGGCATGGTGGCCAGGTCAAAGCAGGGGTATCATCTCAGGTTAGGAGTTCGAGACCAACCTGGCCAACATGATGATACGCTGTTTCTATTAAAAATATAAAAATTAGCTGGGCTAATGTTTGTATTTTTAGTAGAGACGGGGTTTTGCCATATTGGCCAGGCTAATTTTGAACTCCTGACCTTGTGATCTGCCCACCTTGGCCTCCTAAAGTACTGGGATTACAGGCATGGGCTACCGCACCCAGCTTCAAATTTTTAAGTATTACAAATCTGAAAATGGTGGGTGGAATAAGTAGTTAACACTGTTAGATACATATGCCAACATTAGTGCTATGTAAAATTGAAATTAGAAGAGAATTTGACAATATCCCTGGCATGACAGTGTGGTTAAGTGTTAAAATTTCCACCCACAGGGAGAGAGAAAAGTGGGAAAGATTGGGGGTGAAAGTAACTATATTAGAAATATTTAGAATTTTTAAAGATAAAGTTGTCAGTATGAAAGCTGTGTGATAGAGGCTGGGTGTGGTGGCTCACGCCTGTAATCTCTGCACTTTGGGAGGCCTAGGTGGTTAGATCACCTGAGGTTAGGCACCTGACTAATACGGTAAAACCCTATGTCAAAAAAAAATTTAAAAATAAAAAAAAAAGAAAAGCCCCACAGGATAAATTGCGTTGAATGCCATAAATCTCTTGATCAAAAACACAAATGAAACACTTTAGTAACAAGGTAATGAATGGTTTAATGATGCCAGCACCTAACCAATTTATGGCTAGTGTTCCATTATTGGAACGCTACGCTTGTGGGAGTTATTTATATCCTATGCTGAGGGTCATCACAAAGGTCTGATTTTTCACAAAAATATTTTGCAACTTCCAGCATAAATGGGTTAAAACTGCAAACTGGGGCAATGTGAACCTGAAATACATTGAAATGCTTTTTAGTTGAGTAAAATTCTAGCCCTTGCATACTGTCCCCTCCTCTTTCCAAATAAAAAGGTCATATTCATCGAAAGTCAACAGGATCTATAGAATTAATTTATATGTACCCCAATTAGTGCTCTTTGCTAACATTTATTCAGACCTCATATTATCCCCAGACTGTACCGGGAAACAAAAAGTGGTAATTTGCTAAACAGCTTGCTTATGTTTAGAATCTGGAAGGCACCAGGAATGGTGGTACACGCCTGTAGTCCCAGCCACTCAGGAGGCTGAAGCGAGAGGATTGCTTGAACCCAGGAGGTTGAGGCTACATTGAGCTATGATTGTGCCACTGCACTTCAGCCTGGGTGACAAAACGAGAACCTAAGAGAAGGGGGGGAAAAAAAAAAAAAAGAATAATAATGTGGAATCCATCATGATTAGATTGGAGGATTATCTAATCTTGCCCTTACTGTCCTATAAATGCAATTTTTCAGGGCCAAATTAACAAATAGGTAATTAGGAAAACAGTTCTGCTCATTGAAATTTATATTGTGCAGATTTATATTTGAGATAACTGAAGCTAATTATGGTAAACAAGTCCTAAATTATGAAAATATTACCTATTAAATGATGATACTAATTGCCATATTGTATAATTCAACATTTCCTCAAGTCTCTAGTGGAATAAGAGTATAAAATAACTTAGGTTTTTCTAGAGTGTTTTCGGAGTTGGAGAGGATCAAGATTAACTTCTGTTGCCCTAGATCAGGCGTCCCCAAACTGCGGCCCCCTGAGGCCATTTATCCGGCCCCCCTGCCGCACTTCCGGAAGGGGCACCTCCTTGATTGGTGGTCAGTGAGAGGAGCACAGTATGTGGCAGCCCTCCAGCGGTCTGAGGGACAGTGAACTGGCCCCCTGTGTTAAAAGTTTGAGGACGCCTGCTCTAGATAATAGAACTTTTAAAAAACATTGGTTATAATGTTTTTAAAAAATGAGGCATTGGTATTACATACAAATTTCACTCAAGCCATGTGGATTTCCCTGAGTAAAAATTGTATTGTGGCTGAAGTTTAATCCTTGCTAATTGAGGTAGTGCATGGATTATATCCTCATGCCTGAGATGGTAGAGCAGAGCACCCATTTTCAGAAATTATCTGAATTCCTGGATTTATGAATGTTAATCTGGGTTTGTTTGTTTGTTTTTTGAGATGGGGTCTTGCTCTGTTGCACAGGCTGGTGTGCAATGGTGCGATCTCAGCTCACTGCAACCTCTGTCTCTAGGGTTCAAGTGATTCTCTTGCCTCAGCCTCCTGAGTAGCTGGGACTACAGGCGTGCACCACCATGCCCAGCTAATTTTTATATTTTTAGTAGAGATGGTGCTTCACAATGCTGGCCAGGCTGGTCTTGAAATCCTGACCTCAGGTGATCCACCCACCTCGGCCTCCCAAAGTGCTTGGATTACAAGCGTGAGCCACCGAGTACAGCCTAGGTCTGCTTTTTATTGGTTCACTGCAATCTGAAAAACCAGAGACAGTGCAGTGAATTTTTTTTAATAAATATGAATTTATTTAACTTATATATTCCTGCATCATGTACTTCCTACTTGATGTTAAAAATCCTTGTTTGTAAAAATGTGGTAATTTTAAAATGTCCTTGGCCAAATAAAGTTTGTTGATTCTATTTTGGGCATCCATTTTTGGGGGAAATTTTACCAAATAGTGAAATCTCAAAGTCTGAAAATCACTAGTAAAATTGATATTGAATCCAATTTGCTTGATACGTTAAAATATAATACATAATAATGTCAACCAAGTTCTTTTCAGATCATTAAAAGTAAAATCACAAGTTTTTGGTTTCTTCTAAACTGATAAAAAGTTTAAATATACATGAGGTAGGAAAAATAGGTATGAATAAAAGAGAGGATATATTTTCTTGACCTACTACATTCTCTGTATCAGTGTTATCTCCAGCATCCTTTTTGAGAAACTATTTGGAGATAAAGAAAAAGTACATTCTTACTAATCTGCAAGTGAAAATCACTAATGTTTCCTTGGTTTTATGATAACTGATACTTATAAGTCATTCCCATTTTTGTTTCTTAGTAATTTTAAAGTTAATTTTTGGAATTAAGCTAAGTGTAAAGGAGTATTAAGGTGAAATTGTAAAATATTTTTGTCATCTCCTACTCTGTTCATTAATACTACTTTTACGTGTCTGTAAATGTCAACAAAAAAGCATGAGAGAAAAATCAAGACAAAAACCGCCCACAAGCTTGATGCCACTTTTTTTCAAAGACCTTTTAAAATATACATAGGGAAAAATATGTTAAGTATTTATTAGGGGGCAGTTATTGTTGGATAATCTCATTAAACCTCGGTTGTTTACATTGTATTCTGTTTCTTCTTCAGTGAGAAAAAGAAAGAAAAGGAGCGTGAAGAATTGTGGAAAAAATTGGAGGATCTGGAGTTAAAGAGAGGTCTTAGACGTGATGGAATAATTCCAACTTAACAAAAATAATGACAACAATATTACTAACCTGTGGAGTCACACATTTATGTAGTAGAAGATGGAGCAACAGTTTTCTGTATTGTGCAACTTTACAGTAGATTTCACATTTGTTTCATTATTACAACAGCACTGTATATACCTGTCTCTAAGTAAAGGAAAAAAAAATAAGGACTTCAATCCAAAGTTTGGACAGTAGATGGACTTCTCAGAACTTTGCAAATATAATCATTGTTCTAACCCTCTCTAAAAAACAAATCGGTCTTCAAAGATCTGTTGATGAAATTGCTATGTTAAAATTCCATTATCGGGAGTTCCTTATTTATCACTAGCAGAGAGTATGATACAATTTTCAAATGTGAACAATCTTAAATTTAGCTTGTCTTTCTGCTAAGCTGTTAAATGTATTTATAGTAAAGGAAAAAAAGACTGTCATTTCCTTATAAGTTTGTATAACATCCTCCTCTGGATCACTTGACTGTAATTTGACATCTTTTTCTTTTGCACATCTTCCTGAGTTGAATGTCCACATGGAATGGGGCCATGAATTATAAAGGTCCCTGATAAAAGTTCTGTTTACTGGGGTGAACATCTTTCCAGTAACCAGGTAGTCCTGGTACTCCTGTAGTTTTAAAATTAGGAGTTAAAAGAGAAGAGGTGATAAACATAGTAGGAAAGGGAATTTTGGATTCACGCATCAGTTTATGGTGAATCCAAGTCAATGTCTTGAATCCTTTGAAAACAGGCACTGGGACATCACAGGCTTCAGTACCTGACCAGTATTAGTTGCATATATCATTGAACACACATACCAGAGATGTTTCAGAAATGTGAGAAAAACATCCTTTTGGACCATTTGAAATAAAGACAAACACTGAACAATAAATACAACCATGAAATTGATCGCCAGGATTGCAAAGCTAATTGGGAAAAGAGTTGAGCAAACAGCTTGGACTGTTTGGAGTTGTTGCCTTACTTTTTAATATGTATTTATAAAGTATTCCAGCAAAAGAGGATGTAGCCTCTGGGAAAAAACAAACATGTTAACAGTGTTTTTTGTAGATTCTCGTTCTATATCTCATCACAGTGCCAGCCCTGTTTTTAGCCGGAAAGGATTCAGGATAAACATTATTATGCATTCTGAATTGGATGCATATTCCTAACTACTGTATTTGTTATCAAAAGTGGTTCTACAAATGCTACTGAAAAATATCTGGAAATTCCTAATGTCCTGAGTATTAATAATAAAGTTTAAAAATGCTTTTATATCAAAGGTGCATCGTGACCAAATTGTTTAAGAAAAAAAAAAAAAAAACAAAATCTAGGGCTGTATTATATATATATATATGTATGTATATATATATATGGTAACTTTGTAAAAAACAAAAACAAAACTGGCATTGTTAATTCCTAAAAAGAAACAGCAGTTAAAAAAAAAAAAGTCTTATGCAACACCAGACACAACATGGTTTAATGGAATATATATATACATTATTGGCTCTCTGCTTTGTATTTAAAAGAAGAATTTACATCTTGGGTAGGTAAACTGCTGATAAAACTTGTGTTTAGTATGTACTTACCTAATGCAGTAGTATTATTATATACTGAAAGATATGTGTTTGGGGGTTTATTTCCAGGATGCTTTGGGTTGTTTTTGACATGGCAGCAGTGAGTTGGTAATCCTAAACCATCACTTCCAGCAGTATTCATGATAAAGAGCTGATTCTTTGTTCATATGTTGAATTGTGGTAGTAACAAACATGAACATATGAACTATTGTTGCTCTTAATAGAAATACAATACAAATTTCAGCTTGTATATTTTCTTCTTTACATTTAAATATAAAGTAGAATGTGCAGTTTTATTATTTTCAAGAAAAAGGAAAAAAAGCTGCTGACCACCTCTCTCTCCCAAAAAGTTTTTCAGGATTATCAGGTCACAGTGTGTACGTAAGAGTCAGCTAATTATGGATATTGTCATCTTGGTAACTTTGTAAAAAAACAAAACCAAAACTGGCATTGTTAATTCCTAAAAAGAAACAACAGTTAAAAAAAAAAAAAAAAAAAACTCGTATGCAACACCAGACACACATGGTTTAATGGAATTAATAGTTTTTGTTTGTTTGTTTGTTTGTTTGTTTTTTTAAAGAACATTGATAAGGATTCACTGTAAAGTTGGCAGAGATTGCCAAAGACAAAACAACTGACTTTAAAATGCTGGAACAAGGTGATACAAAATAAATTTGTAACAAATCTTCTCCTTTTTAGCCCTTGTGATTTTAGCCTTTTAGTTTTAACTCTGCATTATATTTATTTTTGATAGTATAAACTTTTGTTTGCCATTAATTCATCTTTTTAGGTAGAAGACATTAAAATCACAGGTTTATGAAGACTCTCTGCCCATTGGAATGAAATGCAGTCATTTGAAATGAGAAAGGCCAGGACCCTTTTTGCACCTTACCCTGTCTTCAAGAGTAAAGGTGAAAACTTACAGCTCTCCTCCTTGATGTCAATTTTGTATGTTGATCATTCCAAACTGAGAAGAATAAAGCCAAATTTTAGACATATATAAAGAATAAAATAAAGCTATATGTCTAAAATTCATGGGGCAACTTCTGAGAAGAAACACTGTCTTTTTCTTTTTTAATGGAAAGTGACAATGTGACATTTGTCATGTTGTGTGCGGTGACGCAGAGTAACTGAGGTAATCTGACTGTTGCACTATGTGACATATTTCAGGATGTACTTGCTGCATTTGCAGCAGCCCTCTCTCTCTGTCCCTTCCCACAGTTCTGCTGTTGCTGCAACTTGAGTTAATTGTGACAAATGCATCTTTGTGTTATATTTTGTTTGCTTCATAATTTCCAGAACTATATATAAATATATTTTTAAAATAGCAAATATTGTAGTTAGTGAGTGATACTCACTCCAACCTTATCCTTACCATATTGGTTTCAGGGATAGGATTAAGAGTGTCTTTGGAAGAAAAAAAATACACACAGCCCTGTGGTTTAGAATGATGCTGAGGCCTTAGGCTGTGGGCCTAGAACAATGATGTGAGTGAATTCACCCATCTCATACTTTGAATCAAGCATGCATTCCTTTTTCTCATTGTGCAAGTACCCCCAGTTGTTTTCCTTCAGTGTTGTTTTTTCCTTTTAAATTTTATTACATTTTGCTCTCCCTAACATCTGACTGTTTTTTATAAAATAAAAGAAAAAATAAAAAAATAAGAGATAAATAATACCCTCGATGCCGCTGGATACTCACAAGCAGGGTTATGCTCCTTCATCTTGGGCTCGTTTGCCTAAATGAAAGGGTTTAATTTATTTTGTACCTCCTATGCGTGGGATAGTCCAGGGTGCAGAGCCAGGACTTGCTTGTAATTGCACCTGCTATACTTAAATGTATAGCCCTAGGCTCAATCACACTATGGAAAGAAACAAAAAAAGTATATTTAGAGCTTTAAAAGCTTTTTTATTTTTTTGTGGGGATGAGGGTGGGATGGGAAAGGGATGTATGGATGTTACTGGCATTTTTAAGTGTTTAGAGTTTTTTGGGGTTTTGGGTTTTTTGTTTTGTTTTGTTTTTCCTTGTTTTCTTTTTTCCTTTTAATTGGATGCACTGACCTGGCCCAGGAAATGAAGAGATTCTCTTTTGATGCTATTACCAATGTTATCATAAAGTGACAGTCACCTGTAACAAAAAGGTGGCACCAAACGTGATCACTGATGTTTTATTTGCACATCAATATTTTTATTTTTGTATTTCGGCTCAGCTGCTTCTCTGAGTGGAGTTAAGGAATGAGCCGCAAAGGAGTTTTGTAGTAGGTATATTGGCATTGCATTTTATATTCCTCTATATTTAATTTTGAAAATCTAAAAGAAGGATTGTGCATCTTGAGAGAAAGTTGAGCAAATTGTGATCTAGCGGAATGTTAATTTGTGCTGCTTCTTGTGCACGACAGCAGCAGTAGTATCTCTCTTGGAAATAAACATCCCATATTATGATGTCTATGAATATAGGTTTCCTTTTCTTCCTTCCCTCCCTCCTTTCTTTCCCCACCCTTCTCTTTCTTTTCTCTCTCTCAGCCTCTTTTCCTCCCTCCCCCTTCCCTTCCTTCCTCTTTCTTTACTTTTTTCGAAATCACTTATTGTAAATAAGTTGTAATCCAAACCTCATGTATCAATGGGGAACTTTCAAATATAAATATTACCAATGCATTTTCTGGTTGTTGTCTGATTTTTGATTGAAGTATAATGAGAATGACATGTCTGTTGCTTTTGGTTTGAGGACTTCGCTTCAGCTTCATAAATCTTTTGGTATTTTAGTATTTCATTGTTTTAGCAGGAGAGGGCAGCAAAAGTTCATTTTCCCTGTTAGTAATGCTGTGGTTCACGATCGGTTTTAAATTTAGCTGTGTGTGTGTGTTTTTTTAAACAGCAACTCTTTGTGAGTAGAGGTAAAAATGAAACATTTTTGATATGAAAAGTTGCATATGAAAATTACAGACTGGATCAAACAGACAGTAAAGACTTCTGATCCACATCAAACTTAAAATGCCACAAAACAATCTTCCACCTCTAGTTAAAACATGCTACTTCCTTTTCAAACACAACAAAATGCAAGCTGAGTCTTAAACACTTGGAATTTAAAATGTTTTTCTTTGGAAATGATTTGGTTTCTTCAAAGTGGTAACAGAAACAAAAATGAAGGTGCTCCCCAAAAAGAAATGTAACCTTCCCCTTTCACAGATGTGTGAGAGGTTCTGTACTGTGGGTGCATCATAATAAAGAAGCAGTGAAGAGTTTTCAGGTGCCTGGCTGTTTTTGTTTGTTTGTTTCTGAACTCCGTGGCCTTTTGAACCAAACAAATACTAGATTTGATTGACTTATCTTTGAGGCAGTGGGGTGGGTATGTTCAGGCTTTCATTTTGAGAAGTCAGTTTATGATTATGTAATACTACTGGGGAATGGTCCAGTATCTATTGCTGTATAAATACTACTACAAAAGTAGCGGCTTAGAAGAACAAGGATTTATTCTCATCACAAATCTATAGTTTGGGAAGGGCTTAGCAATAACATCCTGTTTCTGTTTCTCGAGTATTAACTGGAGTGTCACAGGTGGGGCAGGAAACTTCACTTCCAACATGGCTCACTTACATGGTTGACAAGTTAGTGCTGACAGTTGGCTTGGAGTTCAGCCAGGGGTCTCAGTTCTTCCTCACAGTACTTTCTTCTTGGGCTTCCTTACAGCATGGCAGGTGGGTTCTAGGAGGCAGGAAGTAGAAACTGCTTGTTCTTTGAGGCCTGGGCCCAGAAACTGTCATGGCATCCCTCCATCATATTGTATTGGTCAGGCGGTCACAGAGCCTGCTTAGATTCAAGTGGAGGGGACGTAGTCCTTACTGCAAATCAATAAGTTGTTTTCAGTAATTTGCAGTTATCTTTATGCCACCCTGGGATAGTTTTTTTTTGGGGGGGTGGGTAAAGTATTTGATTTAGGGGTGATCTACTCCCTTGGCTAATTCAATTACATCAAATTTGGAACCATGTGGAATTACTCAATGTTTCATATTAAAATTAATCTGAGTTTGGAAGGGAAAAGCCCTTGTAAATGTCTGACATTTTGTATTTCGAAGAATAACCACTTGTAGCATCTGAAGATCAACCTTCTGGTAAGTTAGAAGAAATTTTTAACAAAAAATTTTAGAGTTCAAGAGACTTAAGAGATAATTTTAAGAAAATATTTAATTCTTTGCATATTGTTTCTTCCTGTCTATAAATAAATATTTGTAAGAATGGAGGCAAGGTAAATGTACTGTAAATATATGGATTTTTGTATAAGTAATATGTCTATTAAGTAATGTTTCTATTAGATTAAGTTTACATTAGACTTTATTTTTTTTTAAACTGAAACTAAGTATGTGATAGCTAAAGGGGAATTAGTTTGACTTTTTATTTTTTTATTTTTTTTAAGATGGGGTTTCACCATGATGGCCAGGCTGGTTTTGAACTCCTGACCTCAGGTGATCCACCCACCTCAGCCTCCCCAAAGTGCTAGGATTACAGGCATGAGCCACTGCACCCCGCCCAGTTTGACTTTTTAAAAATGACTTTTTCTTTGAAGAAAGTATTGCTTTTTTATTATTGGGCACATAACTTTTTTGTGGATGACTGGGAACATGAGTAGATAAACATTTATTGCCTATCGGCCAAGTGAGAGAACCTCTGGATAGGTTCTTAATTTTATTATTACAAAAAAAAAATTGATA